TCGGAAGGGTCCCCTCAGTGAGTGGGGGGGGGTCCCGGCTGTCTGTCCCCTCTCAAGTCGCTCCCCCCCCCACGAGTGACGCCCAGCCCGGAGGCCGAGGGTCTCCTTTTGGGGGTCTCCGGGCTGCGGGGTCCCCTCGCCGGCCCTGGGGTTCCCTCGGGGGGGTGTCCCGGAAGGCGGAGCCCCCCCTGGCGGGTGCTGGGGTCCCCCCCCAGGGGTGTCGCGGGCTCCGGGGTCCCCTCGGCGGACACGGGCTGCCCTCGGGGGGGTGTCCCGGGCGGCGGGGGCGGGGGGATCCCGGCGGGGCTCGCGCGGTCCCGCGGCCGCCTGGGATGGCGCTGGGATGGGGGGAGCGAACTTCGGGGGGATTCGGGGGGCGCCAGCTCACGGCCCAGCCCCAGCGACGCCAGCAGGGCCGAGCCCTTCAGCAGCGCCCGCCGCAGCAGCCGGGGGGTCCCTCCCCGAGACCCCCGACCCTCCTCAGCCTCCGGGGGCCCGGCCTCGCCTGCGGGACACAGCGGGGTCAGCGTGGGGAGGGGGACAGAGGGTGAGACCCCCCCCCCGAGCCCCGAGCCCACCCGGACCCACCGTTGGGGGCCGCGTCCCCCGGACTCAGCTCCTCCGTGTCCAGGTACCAGGTGGTCTCGTCCGGGCGCAGGCGCCGCCTGGGGGGGACACCCGAGGGTCCGGGGGGGTTCCGGTGTCCGGGGAGGGGGGGTTGGGACCCTCCCCGGCCTCCCCCAGACCCCCATGAGGGTGGGGGGACACACACACACACCTGCCATTGGGGGCGCTGCCCCGCGCCCCGCGGCCCCGCGGCGGCTCCTCCTCTTCCTCGGGCTCCACTGGGGACACAGAGGGGGGGACACGGGGTCACCGAGGGGTCACCGGGGGTGTCACCGGTGGGGTGATGTCACCGCCCCCCCCGGGGATGACGTTACTCACGCTGGATGGCGCGCAGGCGGGGGAAGGGGGGCGATTCCCCCGGCCCATCCTCGGGGTCGTGGCTCCGGGGGTCCCCCCCGGGTGACGCCTGGACAGTCAGGCGGTGCTTGAAATCTGGGGAGGGGGGAGCCCCGCGCTCAGCAGAGCCCCCAAAACCCCCCCGAAATCCCCAAAGGGCGCACACACACACACCCTCCAGCACCCCAAAATCCCCAGAGCCCCAAAGCCCCCCCAACCCTCTGGCTCCCTCAGGACCCCCAAATCCCCTGGAACCCCAAGCTCCCAACACCTTCTGCTCCCCCAAGACCTCCCCAAATTCCTCAGGACCCCCAAATTCTCTGGACCCCCAAAGCCCCCAACACCCCTCAAGACCTCCCCAAATCCCCTGGACCCTGAATTCCCTCATGATCCCGCCACAGCCCCCAGCCCTCCCAAAGCCCCTGTCTCCCTCAAGACCCCCAAATCCCCTGGAACCCCAAATCCCTCAAGACCCCCCCAGAACCCCCCCATCCCCCCAAATCCGGGACCCAGGTGTTGGGGAGGGGTCCCAGGTGTTTGTGGGAGGGTCCCAGGTGTTGGGGAGGGGTCCCAGGTGTTTGTGGGAGGGTCCCAGGTGTTGGGGAGGGGTCCTGGGTGTTGGGGAGGGGTCCCAGGTGCTCATGGAGGGGTCCCAGGTGCACAGGGGGGTGCCCCAGGTGTTGGGGAGGGGTCCCGGGTGTTCATGGAGGGGACCCAGGTGTTGGGGAGGGGTCCCAGGTGTTTGTGGGAGGGTCCCAGGTGTTGGGGAGGGGTCCCAGGTGTTTGTGGGAGGGTCCCAGGTGTTGGGGAGGGGTCCTGGGTGTTGGGGAGGGGTCCCAGGTGCTCATGGAGGGGTCCCAGGTGCACAGGGGGGTGCCCCAGGTGTTGGGGAGGGGTCCCGGGTGTTCATGGAGGGGACCCAGGTGTTGGGGAGGGGTCCCAGGTGTTTGTGGGAGGGTCCCAGGCGTTGGGGAGGGGTCCCGGGTGTTCATGGAGGGGACCCAGGTGTTGGGGAGGGGTCCCAGGTGCTCAGGGGGATGTCCCAGGTGTTGGGGAGGGGTCCCAGGTGTTTGTGGGAGGGTCCCAGGTGTTGGGGAGGGGTCCTGGGTGTTGGGGAGGGGTCCCAGGTGCTCATGGAGGGGTCCCAGGTGCACAGGGGGGTGCCCCAGGTGTTGGGGAGGGGTCCCGGGTGTTCATGGAGGGGACCCAGGTGTTGGGGAGGGGTCCCAGGTGCACAGGGGGGGTGCCCCACGTGTTGGGGAGGGGTCCCAGGTGCTCAGAGGGGTGTCCCAGGAATTTGGGGAGGGGGTCCCCACCTTCTCCCGCGCCCTCAGCTCGTCGAAGAGCCCCTGGATCTCGCGGCGCCAGGACTCCTGCAGGGAGTGGAAGGACTCGGGGGGCCCCAGCCCCCCCGGCTCCAGCCCCCCCAGGCGCCGCAGGATGGTCCCGAAGCCCGGCCGCCGGTGGGGGTCCTGCTCCCAGCAGGCTGCGGGGGCAACCGGGGGTCTTGGGGGGGGCTCCTGGGGCACCCCCACATCCCCCAGGTACCCCCCCTCACCCCTCAGCAACCCAGGGGTCCGAGCACCTCCAAACTCTTGAGGACCCCAATATCCACAACGCCCCAACCCCTCTGATTCCCCTCGACCCCCCAGCCCCCCCGGGACCCCCGGGACCCCCGTACCTGCCATGAGCTGGGCGAAGGGCGGGGGGCAGGTGGACGGGATGGGCAGGGTCAGTTTGTTCACGGCCACGCCGTAGGCCACGGCCAGCCCGTCGATGCCCCGGTACGGCACCTCGCCGGTCAGCAGCTCCCACAGCAGCACCCCGTAACTTTGGGGGGGCAGGATGAGGGGGTCAGAGCCTCAGACCACCCCCCCATATCCCCCAAAACCACCCCACAACTCTCCAGGTGCTCCCCATAAGGCACCTGCAGCTCCGTGACCCCACACAGAACCCCAAATCCCCCTCACCCAGGGGTTTGGGCACCCCAAACTCCCCCCTGGCTCAGCATTTCCTCCCCCCCCTCAACGACCCCCGGGACCCTTCCCCACCTCCAGACGTCGCTGCCCTTGGAGAAGGTGGATGCCCGGATCACCTCGGGGGCCATCCAGGCGTAGGTGCCGGCCGCGCTCATCTTGGTGGTTCGCTGCCACTCGCGGGCCAGCCCGAAATCGGTGATTTTCAGCGTTTTGCCGCTCACGTCATCCCCCACCACGGGCTGTGCCAGCAGCACTGGGGGGGCACGGCATCAGGGACCCCCCTAAACAGCGACCCCCCCGACTTTTGGGGTCTCCTCCCACCTGGAAACCTTGGGGTCTGTGCGCCCTGTCCGGCTGGGGACAGCCAGGACCGCCACCCTGGGGACACTGGGGACCCCAATATCTGCTATTTCCCACCCTTGGGGACCCCAATACCTGGGATTCCCCACCCTGGGGATGTTGGGGACCCCAATATCTGGGATCCCCCACCCTTGGGGACCCCAATACCTGGGATTCCTCACCCTGTGGACCCCAATATCTTGAATTCCTCACCCTGTGAGACCCTGATGACGGACCCCCCCACCCTGCTACCCCCACACCTCAAGAACCTCCCTACTTAGAGACCCCCCCAGCCCCAAAATCTCACCATTGCTGGACTTGAGGTCTCGGTGGATGAGGGGCACGGGGGTCCCGGAGTGCAGGTACCGCATCCCCCTGGCCACCTGGCGAGCCCAGTCCAGCAGGACGGCGGGGGGGACCCTGCGACCGGCCAGCGCCCTGGAGAGCGGCCCCCCCGCCGCAAACTCCATCACCAGGCACAGGTGGGGGGGCTCCAGGCACACGGCTCGCAGCGCCACCACGTTGGGGTGTCGCAGGCGGGCGTAGAGCCGAGCCTCCCGCCGCAGGCTGGCCGCCCCCCCCCCCCCCCCGGCCCCCCCCCCCCCCCTCCCCCCCCCCCCCCGGGCCCCTTGTAATCCC